GAAAAATAAACTTAACTCTAAACAAGTAAGGAAAAGAAGTTCGAGTGCAACCGAACATTTTATTCTCTTGAAATTTGCAAGAATCAAATCCAGGAAAATATCTTACGGTATAAAATATCAACCAGAGAATCGAAATCCAGGCAATTTTATTTATACATAATTATACTGTGTATAATTCATACACTGACCGACTTATTCGACATAAGGGTTTTTAGTTAGTTTAGTTTAGTTAAATATTATATGTGGTTTATAGAAGTTGAAGTAGCATCGATTTTATCTATTAACCCGTATTTTGCCACATACTAAAAAATTTCATTAAGGTACCTCACGCACCTTATTATATAATCATATATTCGAGTTACACTGTTATGAGCAAAACACGCTCCTTCATTTTCATAACTAAAGTATTGGCCGATATAGCGGTATAAAATCACCCGTAAGTTCGAAAATCTTTATGTTAGGTATAAGGGAGCTCAGGGAAGTATTGATCCGATTCAACCCAATTTTTGGTAAACAGAGATACTATAGAAAACGATTATCTCTGAATTTCAACTGTATATCCCAGACATTGACCGATATCTTCAACTATATATACTGGAGTCCACATATTCGAAACCTAGGGGCTTTACAAGTTTTAATTGGATTTGGAAAATTCTTGGTCATAGGGGGGCATGCTCTAAAGACATTATTCGTGAAAAGTTTTAATTGCTTCCTGATTTGTATACTGGAAAGAATCAGAGGGTAGTTAAAATTATGCTATATGGGAAGTAAACGTGGTTGTTGACTGATTTCGCCCATTTTCACACTAGGAGATATGTTCGTTATATCAATTCCACTTTTCAAAATTTTTAGGCCTAAGGTGCATCTTGCCACGCGATCCCTCGTGCCAAATTACAATTCTACTTGCATATCTTAATTTAGCGCTTAGTTGTGGCACTTTATAGGTTTTTCTTAATGGCGTTTTGTGGGCATCGCAGTGGTCCGATTATGCCCATTTGCGAATTCCAAGGAACATGTGTACCAAGTTTCATCAAGATATCTTAATGTTTACTCAAGTTACAGCTTGCAAGGACAATTGGACAGACAGATAGCCCCCAGATTTCAAGACGTCTCATCTTCCTGATATTTTATATACATACTATAAAGATATATAAGTATATAACCCTATATCAATAACGAATAATTTTAGGTGATACATACAACCTTTAGGTAAACCAAACTATTATACTCTGTAGCAACATGTGGCAATAGTATAAAACAATGCAATTGTCCTTGACCCTGAGTCACCTTTTTTCCTCACTGAGCAAATCGGAATAGTGTCAAAAAAAGCGTTTACTTATATGGATTTTGGATTCTCAAAAATTATCTTATGTACACACATATGTATGTATCTACTTCTGCACTTTTCACTGCTATGGCTGTTTGTACTCATGTGCATTTTTACATATGTACATACATATGTACATGTGTAAAATGATTGTTGCCTCTTCCTTCAAATGCGCTGGCTGGAAGCATGCCTTCTTAATAGGCAGTCCGTGCGTTTGCTTTGTACTCGAGCAGAAATTTAATCTAATCAAGACGAACGTGCTTTTTAGCAAGCAGCTCCAATTTAGAATTTGTAAGTGCCGCAAGTAGCAGATAACGACTGTGTGCTGACATTTGAAAACCTAGTAAAATATTTAAGTTCATATGCACTTCATGATTTATACTAACTATACAGATAGGCCATATGTTTATCTAAGCAAAACTTTGTGTATATAGGAAAAATCGTTCGCTTACCATAAGGCCCCAGCACAAGCTATCTGATGACTGCACCGGAAGTAGTACTCGCAGAACGGACCATATCGCTTTACTGGAGCGGGGGAGTGTTCGCCCGGATTCCAATAAAAATATTGTAGCTAATAAATAACATTTGTACATATATACATATACATATGTATATGTACATAATAGTAATCCATTTACATATCCACATGCTTGGCTATGCCGCGCATGAATTTATTGTGTACAAATATTTCAGCTGTTTTAGATAAGAAAATCAGTTGAAAATATTTATTTATGAGCCGTTATTAGCGATAATTACTGAAGCGTGATTCAAAGTAACAAGAATAATGCAAATATGTATACATATTAAAGTAAAACGTGTTAATCAGTTGGAAAATTGTTTCTTAAAATTTGTGATATTGACAAAAAAATACATTTTTGTTTTCAAACAATTATAAAGGAAAAATGTTTTCGTAACAAAAGCTTACATTTAAAGGTTTCCATATAAGAATTTTATTTCGAACGGTCAGTTTGAACGGTAGCTATATATTTTATTGATCTGATCTAAAAATTCATACGGAGATTGTTAATTCATTTTCCTTACAAAGGTTGATCCATTTCAAGGCTTCCTAAAAAACATTATGTTTATGGAATGATTATGATCAAGCGAAAATACATTCTTTGGCATTTATTTCTTGAAGATTTTCTCTTTCAAATGTTGGCCGCGGATACATCTTAAATGGTCCATCTGTTGAGTCCAATTTTCGGTGACTCGCTGTAACATTCTGACTGGTAACTGGCGAATGATACCAGTGATATTTTGCTCCAATACCTGAATCAAAGCGGGATTGAAACCAAATGCCACCGAGATCACGAGCTTCCATTTCAGGCATCAAATAGTCGATTATGGCGTGATAACGGTCGCCATTGACGGTTAAGTTCTCACCGGCATTATTATTGAAGAAATATGGACCAATGACCCATAAACTACACCAAACCGTTGGTTTTTCTGGATGAAATGGCAGCTCTTGAATGTCTTCAGGTTGATTTTTCTCCCAAATGCGGCAATTTTGCTTGTTTACATACCCATTGAGCCAAAAATCCATCCATCGCTGAAGAAAATCTGGCTCGAAAACGTTGGATCTTCTTGGAACTTTTCACAAGAACCATAGAGCGAACGGCTTCAGTTTTTGCACAAGCTGTATTTTGTATGCTTTCAATTTAAGATCTCGACGTAAAATGTGACAAGTCGTTTCATATTTAGCGTCAGTTCGAGTTTCTGCGAACGACGCCGAATCGACTCTCTAGTATATTCAAGCACACTCGCAGTACAGCTACAGCTGCTATATTTTTTTCACTTCGAGGAATGTGGTCGATTCGGTCGAATATTATCAAATAATTTAATTAAGTTGGTGTTGCAAATAGTATGCCGATTACGTTGACCATAAGTTGAGCGAAGTGCGCGAAAACCATTCCCCAAATTTGAACGATTTGTAAACGTTGTTCAGGTGAAAATCTTTAGATGATGAAATGTCGAATGATACAGACAGCTTGACACGACTGACGCACCATCTGTGAAAAAAGGCTTTTGAAAAATGTACATCTACTTGGATTACTCGTTACATAGCTAAACGCCTAAAAATCGAACCAACGCGTGGGTAAGAACATACATATATTTCGCATAGAAGATACAGCGCCAAAGAAGAAGACGTTAATAGTCGAATTTTATTATTTATTAATTATTTACAAACACCGAGAACAGCTGCACCGGCAGTAAAAAAATTAAAAATAAGTCTATCAATTAATAACCATTTTTATATTCTCAGTAAATTAACTTGTTATTTCAACTAATATTCGTGTCATTTCTTTTTTGGCGATCGTTTGTATGTACGAAATTTTCTCGTTTGTTTTTACTCCATTACTTTTATGTCGTTTTTCTAAACAAATGTGTCTCATTACCAACTCAAAAACCCAATCTGCGACGTAGTTAAAAAAACAGATCAAGTTATTTAGGTTTCAATCGACTGACAGCGGTGCGATGGTGAATGCCTTCTTAATGTGCGATTATTTCTGTTTTGATGAATATTTTCTATTGTGTATGAGCGAGTATATGTGCCTACTTAATATTCATACCAGTTTTGAGTTTAGAAATTAATTGAAAAATAGGTAAACAAAAAATTTAAAACGCTAATGGGAACGCGAAACGCGCAAAAGCGTCGACGCCGATCATGACAACTGATCGCACGTCATACATAAGCTGGCTGAAGGGGGCCTTCCGTGCGCTGTCTGGGATTATTGGACTATGTATCGATGATATGTATATATGTACATACATACATATGTATATATAAGGAGGTGTTGATAATTATGCGCTTACATATATGTATATGTATACTTATATATGTACATATATGTATGTAGATAATAACATTCGGTTTTGAGAATTGATGCCGCCATTAGAATCACGAAGCAGTGCGCTTAGGATTTCAACGATTCAGCAATTCGTCTTGCTGGCGTTAATTAGTTGGCTTGCAGTGCAATAGTGTGCCGTGTTGCGACGATCGCTCCATCACTTTGATGCGCGTGTAGATGGTTAGTGCGATGGCGAGTATTGATTGTGAGCAACTTGGGGATGGGAACGTGTACATAAACTTTGTGCAATAATATGACATGCACATACATATGCACGTATGTATATGCACACACATACACGTATGTATCTAAGTTTCATGCTCGCATGTTGTTGTTTTGTAAGCAAGTGGATTTTCCAATTTGAAAAGCATGAAGAAAACAAATTCCTTCGAAGCGTTTCTCATAACAAAGGCTAGCAAATATTTACTTACAATCTAGCAATAAATAATTGGCAATTCAGGTGGAGCTGGCTTAACTGTGCCGGCGACACTTTTGCTTTAAGTATAATACCTCACAGATCGCTGATCTTGACAGAGTCACAGCAGCGGTTGACACTGAATGTTAAAAAATGGTATCTAGATACGTATGTATGTATGGGTGCGTACAGACACACACGCATGCGCATATCTACGACTTGAATTAGAGTTGCGGAGCGCTGCAGGTGATCGTCATTTCTAAATTTTCGCATACAAATTGGAATTTTGTCGCCATTGTATGCAAATTGTCATGCATTTTTATTGCAATCTTGATGTTTTTACTTGCAATCGATTATCGATTATCAAATTAATTAATTTTTTTTTATTCTTTCTCTTTGCGCTTTACAGGTTTCACAGCAGTAAACCGCAATCTGTTGATATTTAACTCTTTGGATTTTTCGCTTGGTGCATTTGTCATATAATTCCATTCAAAACGGCGCAGAAATTCAGTCCACTCAAGCGCAAAACCGTTGCAGAGCCGACACATCAACTCCTCAGCAACAACAGTCGCGCACCACTCAGCAACATGTCGCAGTTGATGTTTTGGAACAAACAGAACAACAACAACAACATAAAGAATCAATCCAACGATAGCAATAAAAATGATAAAAACGGTGCTACGGAGGATGCGAAAAAGGACAAGCGCAATTGGTTGCATACGCCCGATGCACTCGTCAATGGCCACGTCGTCTATCTAGTCAAGGTGAGTGTACCATAAGAGTGTTTGTGTGTATGCTTGTCTAACGTTGAACAACTTTCAGTTCTTTGGGAATTTACCTGTGGAGCAGGCCAAAGGCATTGAAGTGGTTAAAGATGCCATACGTAAGCTGCAGTTCGCCCAGGAGATGAAGAAGGCCGAGACGGGTACTCAGGAAAAGTGTAAAAAAGTCGAAATCACCATCAGCGTGGATGGTGTCGCTGTACAAGAGCCGCGCACACAGAAGATTCTGCATCAATTCCCGTTGCACAACATTTCGTATTGTGCCGACGAGAAGGGTGTGAAGAAGTTCTTTAGTTTTATTGCCAAAACAGTAAAGCCACTGGATGGGGGAATCAATGGCTCCTCCACGGGTAGCAGCAACGGCGTGAGTAGCTCCAACGGCAGTAACAGCACCGGTGGCAGTAACACTGAGGAGACACATGAGTGCTTCGTATTCATATCTAATAAATTGGCGTCGGACATTACGCTAACCATCGGACAGGCGTTCGACTTGGCTTACAAGTAAGTTGAAAGAATTAATTGCTTATGACGTGGTGCCGCAGTCTTGGTCACTGTCAAATATATTCGTAAACTCTCAATTCCCAACCATTACGCGTTCAATTTCGTGTTTCATTCTTTGCTAAGTTCAAATGCTGCCCTGTCGCCATTCTAGGTTCCGTTGCTAGTCTTCCAATCACCCTATATCTCCCAATACAATGATGAAGTAAAAGTTCTTAACATGCTCCAAATATCAATATTCAACTTCTAGAAAAAGGCGAGGGAAAACATCTAAATCGTTTTACTAGACTAAATGAAACATTTTGGATATATTTTCAGTTATTCGGGTGAAAGGATTGAAACCGGTATTAATATTTTCAGTATACAGTGGTACCTCGACATACGAGTTTAATTCGCTCCGCAACCTCGTATCTTGAATTACTCGTATCTCGAAGCGAATTACCCATACAAAACAATTGAACTGCCATTAATCCGTTCCAACCTCCAAAATGTCACCCCAGTTATTTTTGTTACGTGGTTTTGAATAATAAAAACGTATTTATAGATATTAAATATTTATTACATAAAAACAAAAAAGAGAATGTAAAGAAATAAATTAGACATGCTCACAGGTCTTTGCCTTTTTCGCTAAATTTTTCTCGCTTTCACCTGTAGGCCGTTTAGAAAAAAACATGTCCAAGGAGGTTTGTTTCTTCCCCCCTCTCAGAATGTTCCGGAAATGAGTTCGACAAGGTAATTAAAAAGGTCAGATGCACGACATTTTGCCACTTTTTCTGGGAGTTTTTTTCACGAACTGTGAAACTCTCTCCCACATATCCTAATATCTCTTTTATCTCATTTGTAGAAATAACCTCCTCCTTTGACTCCTCAAAACCAATTTCTTGCATAACCTCAGTATGCTGCTATGACTGTAACTCTTGTATCTCCTCAGTCGTCAGTTCCTGGGTGTGCTCCTCGATGAGCTCGTTCACGTCTCTCTATTCCACCTCTAGACCCATGGATTTCCTCATAGATACAATCTCCTCCTCAACTGAAACACCGGGTTCCAATTTTTCATAGATCCTTTCAGCTACAGCTTCAGGCCATTCGTACCTCGAATGTCGCTTGTAACTAAAAGCAAAAAATCACTTGCTCGTCGGCTCGTATGTCGAAAAACTCGTATGTTGGGGCACTCGTTTGTCGAGGTACCACTGTATTTGATATAGGCTCGAAGCGACTTGCCAATATATTGATATATAGATATGATTCACAACTTAACCCAAAATGTCAATGTGTTGTCCTAAAGATACGGTCTGACAAATTGGAGAACTATTCCCTGTTCTCTTCAAATATCTAATTGCATCTGATTTGATAGGGTAGCCGTCGATCCACTTTGCTTAGCCTTTTTTCTACAATTCTACTTGATTAGTCATCAATAATTCAATAACCCACTGCCGCAACCCCTTTAATACGAGTATTAGTAATAACTACATATATTTTTATTAACTCTCGTAGAAAATACATAAACAGCGTTGAGAAGACAGATCTGGGCAAGGCGCAGCAGCAGAATGCCGAGCTGGAAAAAGCGATCGCCATTTACAAAAGTCGACTGCGCGAGTTATCGTTGAAGCTGCCAAAATCCGAACTGGATTCGGTGCTTTTCAAAATGGGCATCAAAGATATACTGGATCTGCCCGCTGCTGAAAATGACGCACTAACCAATGGCAACGCCACCAAAGCGAACAGTAAGTCAAAAGACCTTAGGTCATTCCAATTAAGAAATATAATACTTTTTCTCGTTGTGCTGTTGTAGTGCTTGAAGATAAACTGTTGATTGACACCAATTCCTTGCATTCGATGAAGTCATCGTCGGGATCGTCGTCGTCCTTTGTGCCAATCGTGCCGCCACGCAACAATCTACCAAGCCAAATCATACACAAATCGAATAGCCAAAAAATGGAGGAGCTGCTTCTCAACTCCGACTCAGACAGTGACTTCGATCCGCGCGCCGAAGAGTGCGTCGACGGCGGGAGCAGCAGCAGCAGCGGTGGCGGCAAGAACATTAGCAACGATCTGTTCGGCTTTGAGCCAGCCAAATCATATGGCCAACAATTATTCACCAATCAGAGTAACAACAACAACGATAGTAAATCAGTGAATAACAACCACAACGGCATTAATTTGAGTTTGAGCAGCGCCAGTGTCGGCAACAACAGCAATAGTTTAAGCAACAACAATTTTACAAGCGACCTAACGCCGCCGTTACGTAAGTGCTCAGCCAATGCTACTTGGTGACATACCTACTTACTTGCATACATACATACATACGTACATATGCACATATGTAAGCAATTTGCTCTACAAATTCGGCGCTTTGGCATTTCATTTGCAATTAAAATCATTCGCCAATTCATCGGCTCTTACCTTTATATCATAAGTAAATATACATATGTATGTATATGTACCTATCTGTCAGTATGCTTTTGCAGTTTATTTTAAACGAATTGTTTGGTTTGTTTTGTTTTGTTTGTGAAATAATTGTTTGTTTGTTGCGTTAATGATTATTTTTCTCTGTTCTCTTTTCGCGCTCTATCTCGATCGTATAGTGGCTCCTCCGCCTAAAGTGGCCGCACCCAGACGCAGTACATCGGTCACGAACAACATCACAAGCACAAACAACAATAATAACATAACCGTGACCAACGGCAATACAGATCTATTCGGCTCAGATCCATTCGAAATAAATAATGGACCCAGTATTTTCAAGGTGAGCGTTAATGATGATGATGCTGCTGCTGTTAGCCGCTGCTTTACTATACTTCGCTATTTGTTTCATTATAATTAATTTATTTATTTTATTCTCTCATAAACTCCATGAGTTTTAAGTTTATTATCAGTGTGCTAAAGGTCATTTAACAATGACATTGCTGACTGTTTTATATAGAATCTTACGCGTCATTCAGAGCTTTAAGGGTTTGATTCTTATATTCTTACATGCTAATGTGCCTTGTACTTCCTTAAGATCGATGAGGCGATTTATACGCGCTTCCGAGAAAAGTATATTTGCGGTTCCCTCCTAATTTGATGCTGGATGAACCGTGTTCAAAAATTTAATATGCATTCATTAATTGTCCCCAAGTAAAGCCGAGAAGGTTTTTGGAATTTCCAATTACTTGTATTTTTAGAGAACTTTGGAGGCAAAACTTTTACTTTTAGCAAAAAAAAGTCGGAAAATTTGTTAATGCTAAAATCTTAAGTAACTCCTCGACCTGAGTAAGGCCTCGTAAATTATATATTGAAACAGTGCAGGTTTTGAAGTTATGAGGGACATTTGCTATGAAAGCAAGAGTGTGTGGAAAATATTTTAAATTTTTTAACAAAAAGAATCTAATTTAAAAGGTTTAAGAGAAGTAACGGCGGCCTACATTTGAAAGAGATAATCTTCAAAAAATATATATAAAAGAAAGTTCTTTCGAATGATAGTAAAGATTTCCTATTAAGTTTGAAGATTCCGTATTTTTTCTTCAAAAAAGAAGGACTATTTTGAATGTTTTGCCAATTTTTTAATTTAATTTGATGACTTTGCGGCAGAACCAATTAATTGATTAGGTGATTGTTAGATTTATTGGGTTAATTCTTCTTCTTCTTCTTCTTTACTACCATAGACAACGCTTACGCGATAATAGCCCAGTTAACAACAGCGCGCTAGTCGTTTCTTCTTTTCGCTACGTGGCGCCAATTGGATATTTCAAGCGAAGCCAGGTCTTTCTCCACCTGGTCCTTTCAACGGAGTGGAGGTTTCCCCTTTTCCACCGCGCAAAGGACCGTAAATCTTTCTAAGAAGCTTTCTCTCGAAAACTCGCAACGTCAACTCATAAGTTTTTGTCAGCGTCCAAGCTTCTGCACCATATAGCAGGACGGGAATTATGAGTGAATTATAGAGTTTGGTTGTTGTTCGTCGAGAGAGGATTTGCTTCTCAATTGCCTACTCAGTCCGAAGTAGCACCTGTTTCAAGAGTAATCCTACGTTGGATTTTCTGGCAGATATTGTTGGTGGCTTTTAGGCTGGTTCCAAGATATACGAAATTATCTACGACTACAAAGTTATGACTGTCTACAGTGATGTGAGTTCGGCGACTGTTTGACGCGACGACAGGAGATATTTCGTCTTGTCCCTGTTCACTGTCAGACCCATTTGTTTTGCTTCCTTGTCCAGTCTGGAGATGGCAGAACTAACGGCGCGGGTGCTGAGGCCGATGATATCAATATCATCGGCATACGCCAGCAGCTGTACACTCTTATAATAGATTGTACGTGTCGATTAAGTTCTGCAGCTCGAATTATTTTCTCCAGCAGCAGATTGAAGAAGCCGCATGATAGGGAGCCGCCTTGCCTGAAACCTCGTTTGGTAACGAACAGCTCGGAGAGGTCTTTCCCGATTCTAACGGATCTTTTGGTGTTGCTCAACGTCAGTTTACACAGCCGTATTAGCTTTGCGGGGATACCAAATTCAGACGTAGCCGCATAAAGACAGCACCTTTTCGTGCTGTCGAAAGCAGCTTTGAAATCGACGACGAGGTGGTTTGTGTCGATTCTCCTTTTATGGGTCTTTTCCAAGTGGACTTTAATCTTTCACACAATACGCTCGATAGAACCTTATACGCGATGTTGACAAGGCTTATCCCACGGTAGTTGGCGCAGATTGTGGGGTCTCCTTTTGTATGGATTGGGCATAGCACACTTAAATTCCAATCGTTGGACATGCTTTCGTCCGACCATATTTTACAAAGTAGCTGATGCACGCGTCTTGTCAGTTCCTTGCCGCCGTGTTCGGTCGGCAATTCATCGGCCCCCGCTAATTTGTTGTTCTTCAGACGGGTAATTGCTACTCGAACGGGAACGTCCGTTCCATCGCCATCGATTGGGGAATTGGGTTAGCCTTCTCCTGACGTCGTACTTTCAATGGAGAATTGTTCCCTCCATATTTTTAGTATGCTTTGGGCTTCGATCACTAGATCACCTTTGGGGATTCTACAAGAGTACAAGAGTATCCGGTCTTGACACCTTCAGTTAGCCACCGCATCTTTTCGATTTTGATATCGCGGTGGGGGCAGCTCTCATAGGTGCGCTCCAAGCGCTCATAGAAGACATCGTTGGTCAAATCGTTCTTCCGTCGAGGCGTGGGCGCAAATCAGCGATATTTAAAACAACCTCGCTTTGATGCGGATTGTGGCTAGACGTTCATTCACCGGAGTGAATGATAGTACTCCGGAGTCTCTCTGCCACCACGAATCCTACACCAAATTTGTGCTCCTTTGTATGGCCACTGTAGTAAATGCCACAAGGACCTACTCGCCTCAGTCCTGGTCCCGCCCATCGCATGATGTCAGCCTTCACTCTAACGAGGACATCAACCAGATGGGAAGCGGCACCTTCCCAATTAAGAGACCGGAAATTCCAGGTGCATGCCCTTAAATCGCAGTCCTTATTTCGTTTGCCATGGTCGTCATCAAAAGGGGGGTCACCCCATAGAAGTTATTAGAAACTGATCCACGCTAAATCTCTCTGTGCGACTATGATTTTGCGCCATCTACTTGTCAGCCTTGGAAATCTGTTACATTTTGAGAGCTGATTTAGACACTACAAAATAAAGTAAAAAATGTAAACAAACAAATTTTTTTTAAATCAATAAATCTAATTTCACCTGAAAATCGACTTCCTAAATGAAAAATTTGTCCATTATTACCATTATATGGAAAACATTTAAAAGAATACGGTTTTATTACAAAATACTATATGACAATGTTTTCTTTTGATAAATATTGAGTTATGTGAATTCTTAAATGGCAAAAACAGCCATTTCTTTTTCATCTTTCCAACGGCAGTGAGAACGGGTTGATTAGTGAAGGGCTTAAATGTAATCTAATCCTTTCAAAATTTCGGTCTGAACATGGTATTAGCTTTATGATTATTATCTCTTAGTTTGAAATAGTTTGCTGAGCTTTGATTGAAGCATAAAACGTTTGCAATACATACATATATACCTCATTATATTACTCATTTATATTACTTTCAGAGCAAGATGATGAGTGTAGATGACTTCACGTTGGAAAGTTTGGATCCATTGCGAAAGTAAGCCGGTCGCGCCATTCTGAGCGTCGTCGAAGCCTCTTTATATTGATTACGTGAACGCTCCAACAAATGCTTCCAACTCCAAATGAACCTTTAGAATAACTAAATAATATGATCGCATATCTGCAACGCACGGCGCTAAGGCGTCCATTTGGAGGCATACCTAGTATTTTCAATGCCGAAGCGACACAAATGCTTAAAACTGTAATATGTTTGCATCGAATATTTGTATACATTTATTTACACATACACACACATACAAGCAGTTATAGATTTTATGTATATACGGATGCATTAGATAACTATTTTGTAAGATTAATTAACGCTTGTGAGAGCACGGCCTTACAATGATACGTATGCATGTATAATTATTATGTAGATTCAGTCGGAAAAATCAACTAAATTCGTGCTTCCTTTAAATAACTGTATTATTTCCTATTTGCAAGTATTTGTTTCTGTTTTCTCCTCTCTTTCTGTAATTGAACCATTTAGCGGCGGCTTAAGTCCAACAGTTTCCCTATAAAGTGTATTTTTTGCGCTCCTTAATGCTCCGCTAATGATGACCCCATAAATATGATAAATGATGTGTATAAAATTATTTTATTTATTACGTTTTTTATAAATATAAATATTATATAGGTATATATGTATGTATGTATATGTATCGAATCTATTGATTTAATTATTTTATTGCGATTATTATCAAATTATGATTATTGATTATGATGATGATGATGTATTCGTTAATTATGAAGGTTCGTTAAAGTAAAATTTCTCCAAGGATTAAAAGTGATAGCACCCACCCGCCCCCTCGTATACTCGTACATGTACAATATTAATATTTGGTAGGTATCTATCGCTCCTTAACCAAAACACTCTCCCACGCACACACACATATATGTAAAACTATATAAAGTAACAGTTATAATCATTATCATAGTAATGATCACTATTATTACGAATATTTTAAAAGTTTATGTAAAATAATTGAAAATATGTGCTTTGTCTGTATGTTAAAAATGTTAACAGTTGAAATTGAACACATGCACACACACACACACATGTCTACCATAAATAATGTTTATACAAAATGCTTTGTTATATAATGAGTATGAAATTGAGGATAATTAGTTGATTTCGATATTTGATAATAGTTATGTTTATTGTAATGATAATGATGTAGAGGTGATTATTATTATTACTATTATTATTATTTTGTACGTTGTACGTTATTTACTAGCGAAGTATATAAATAAAGAAATAAAAAACAATAAATTGTGCAAAATTCTTTTATTTGTTTACTTTTTCTATCAGCTGGGAGGTTTTTATCGATATTTTAGTATTTCGGTTTGTTCTACTTATCTACTACAACAATGAAAAAATTTATAAAACTGTTTCGTGAGACAAGCATTGCATCAGTTGCATTTATTGTGCAAGCCCTACAACTAAAATTAAAATAGATACTAGTGTTTATATAATAACAAGGCAATTCAGCTTAAATAAAACACTTAGTTAAAGTAATTATAATGACGATGCAATCAACATAAATACAATAAATCACATAAATTCTTAAGCGTACAAGAAAGTTTTCTCTACTAAGAGATTTCACTATTATGGATGTTTTCTCGAAATTGCTTTGAGCTGAGATGGTGATCCGTACGTCATAAGCGAAACGACCTGTCAAACTCTCACAAGCCTTTGGCCCTTTCTGTTCCATACGTCAATAAATTTTTCTGTCATTTGCACTGCAAAATAAGTAACGGATCAAATCTCTCTTATTCTCTAGTTAGCTTATATCCAAGTAGATATACTTTTTTCAATACCCTTTTCTTGACAGATCACTTGTGAATCATGTCAATCTATCATGTTAGTTTGCTCAGTATTGTTTGGCAGTTCATCATGAAAAAACTTACGCCTAAACAACTATTACATCGTTCAACTTTATTGCATGCGCTTCGCTCAAGTTAAGGTACTATTCGCAACACCATTACCCTATTGAAACCTAAGATTCAAATAAGATGATACTCGACCGAATAGACCACGCCCAGCACACGGGGATAAAAATATAACAGCCACAGTTGAAAAAGTACACGAAGACCGACCGAGTCGATTCGGCGCTGTTCGCAGCAACTCAGACCGACGTGAGGAATGACTTAAATTGAAAGCCTTCCCAAGCGACATCGCTTTGCTCTATGGGTTCTTGGTAAATGCCAAGAAGATTCAACGTTTTCGAGCCAGTTTTTTTCAGCGATGAGGCTTATTTCTGACTCAATGACTGTGTAAAGAAGCAAAATTTACGCTTTTGGGACGAAGAGATTCAAGAGCTGCCATTTCATCTAGAAAAAAAAACAACGAATTGGGTGGTTTATGTGCCGGTGGAATCATCGATGGTTATTTCTTCAAAAATGTTATAGGTGAGAACGTAGCCGTCACTACTATAGTGTCATGATAACCGACTATTTTATTTTTAGCGACATTTGGTTTCAAAAAGACGGTGCTACTTTCCACACATCTCATCAATCAATGGATTTATTGAGAAAACATTTCGGTGAGCAGATAATTTCAGACGTGTTGTCACACCGTTAACATATTTCTGTGGGGATATATAAAGTCTCAAGTATATGAGGACAATCCTGCTTCGATTCAGGCCTTGGAGGAAAACATCACGCCTATCATTCGCCAGTTGCCGAAAGTTGGACTCAATGGGTGGACCATCTACCGTGGCCGCGGCCAACATTTGAAAGAGATAATCTTTAAAAAATAGACGCCAAGAGTGTTTTTCGATAATAAACATTCCCTATTAAATATGAGGTTTCTGCGTTTTTCTTTGAAAAGTAGGGAACCTCGAAATAGATCGCCCTTTAAATATAAATGATTACAGTGACGGGCTGAGTTGATTGACCCATGCCTGCCCATAGGGTCTCTGAGTTTATGAGATATCGATCTGAAATTTTGCATATGTTCGTCCTTTTCCCCCTGCTTATTTGTCAAAATCGCCGATATCGGACCACTAAACCATCATTATCGTCTTCGTGTAAATCATATTATTGTATGGAAACCCTTTTATTTGACGAAATCTCTTCGCGAAATTTAGCAGGAAATATTATTCAAAGCAACGGTGCAATCACCGGAGAAATTATTCAGAACGAACCACTATAGCTTATAGTTGTCATACAATCTGAACGATGTAATGTAACGATGTATTGTAATTGTTTTGTAAAGACAACTTTTTTCTGACAAGTTTTCTCCTGGAAACTTGGCAAAGATTTCTACCCAACGTGTACCGTTGCTTCGAAAAAATTTTCAGATCGGGCCAGTATTATATATGAGTCGCCACTCAAGCTTTGGAACAAAATCAAGATACATTTATTATAGCTTCGGTGCAACCGAATGTTAACGGGTTCTTGTTTTATTTGTACATATGACAAAAAACTATTTTCTTCTTTTTAACCAAATAAAAATTTCGAGTTTCAAAGGTCAACCATATTACCAGAAGCTTGTTTTCCATCAGCTCTAGAAAAAAATCATATTCCATATCAAACAATTTTATTTCTATTCGTCTCGGTATCCAACATTAACATATATTTTTATAAAACTTAATTTGTAATTCATTACGGTTTAAAAAAATGCACTGTTAAGACTAAGTGTTAAACTTAACAATCGTGGTAACTTCTTATACCTAACCTAAAGTATCGGATATCTTCTTCTTTCCCTTTCACATTAAAAATACGAATAAGAGTGCAAATGGCTGTGAGCTTAAAGTGCCAAGTGAATAAATGTTTATAGACTGTTGAGGGGAATGTTTTTTGCAAATAATTATAATTTATGCGTTTGAAAATGTGTTTGCTTACATAATTCTACGACTTGAAAATGTATATATGCTTCTATGTATGTGTGTATATTTGCAATTGAAATCAACGTCGTAACTGACTGTTTGCGCACAAAGGCAAATTCCCACACGATTGCAGCAAAGCCTTGCCGAGAGCGCTTTTCATCAAACGCCTGCGAATTTTAGCGCAATGACATAATTCTAAATTTCGAACCTACAAAACCTCTCCAACTTGTGCATGATATTTTTACTTGAATTTTCTTTAATAAGTTTTCTTTCTTTAATTTATTCGCACGCGTGCATTTTGACTTTTTACTACTGGTTACATAATTCTCAGCTTGATTAGTCACAATGCTCGCTCACTTACTACTTATTACAAAATTTTCAGTTTTTTAATTTCTTTTCACTTTTTGGGGATTTGAGTTACTACTTGTTGCAAAATTTCCGTTATTAGTTAGAAAACCAATTACAATATTTCTTGAATAACGCCGTGATTAATTTATATGCTCGTCCTTTTGATAAGTTAAAGGTCTTGTGCTGATTGGGTTACGTCAATTGATTAATCCGAAAATTGGTTTGCACTTCCTTGTACAACAACCCTTTCATCTATTCCATTGCTCTTCATTCCTTATCGTTCAACAAATGATCCTGAGCTTGTGATATCAAGAGATTTGCTGGTTCTGCAACTGCTACCCTTAGCTTTCTTTGCTCAACTGCCGAGTCCCGCGTAGGTTCGGTCTATAACATGTCATTGTAGCGCTTCGGTGCCGAGGCATTCAATTGCCTTGCATTCATGTCAGAGCTCTAGAAATTAAAGTAAAATATTTATGTACCTCGACATTAAGATATTTTTATCGAAATAAGTAAAACAAATATATATACCTTATATATAAAGATGTAAGTATGTATATAATTGAATGAGGATGTGTATTTATACGCGTTACTAATGAGCTCCGAAAAAACAGTTTTGGAAATCATTTTAGCAAAATCTATCAGGTTGAAAAGTTGGACAGAACAATGAGTGTCTAGATAATGTGGACCTGGACAACCGCAGCATTAAAATATCTACTAGTAAAAACTATATTTTTGTCTAGTTTGGTATGACTGTCAGTGACATCTGCGCCAAATGTCACATCTAAATAATCATTAGTGCATAACATAAGCTTGTCTACGCTTTTAAGTTTTGTTTCTGGTGCCGATAATTGTTTGTCGCGTGCAAGTGTTTTTGATTGTTAAAAAGCACGTCAATAAAATAAAGGAATTGTTGCTTCAAAATCGCCGATTAACAGACAGAGATCTTACTGGCATCGTTGGAATATAGGAAGGATCAATGAAAATGATTCGGGGCTAAGAAGAGTGAAAACACGATTGGTTCCAAAATCACTAATTTTTTTCGAGAAACAGCGTAGCGAGACCGTCTGTGAAACAATGCTTTCCGACTACCAAAAAGTCACGGAACGTATTATTACAGGCGATAAGTCTTGAATCTATGTTTCGAACCGAAAACGCACGATCAATGGGTCGAATATCGTGACAAATATAACCGGAAATCGAAAACCGACGTCAAAGCAGGTCAAAAATCAAGGCTATGTTGACAGTTTTCTTCAATTATCGAGGTTGGCACACTCCGAATTCCTTTCGACTGGCCAAACAGTCAAGAAGAATACTTTTTGAGTGTTCTGCGTATTTATAAAAAGAGAGGCGGGAATTATGGACCGATAACTCTAGGTTTTTGTACTACGATAATTCACCATCACATACTCCAGTGATTCTTCGTGACTATCGTATTCGCCTTATTTAGCTCCGTGTGACTTCTGGTGTGCTAACATATAGTATATACAGGGTGTGTCCGTAAAGTAATAGGACTGTTTTTCTTCCGCACCGACCGGATTCGGTAGAGGGCGTTCCTAGCTAACGAATGATCTGCTATCTCCGAGCACGTGGAGAGTCAGACAAATATTTTCAAGCGACATTTTTTTGTGGTGCAAAGCGAAAATGCACTCAGAACGTCGACTAAGTATTCGTTTAAATGCCCAAATCTTAAATTTATCAAAATCTGCGTGTTGAGTTGTTTAGTCGAAGGGACCGAAACCCATGTCGTCGTCCTCCTGTGACTTTAACATGCCCAAGGTGTGCGCGAAAATGGTCCCAAAAGTGCTCACTGACGACCAGAAATTGGCCAAAAAATTTTAACAATTTTCAATAACGTAATCACAGGTGACGGGTCATGGATCATTGAGTATGATCCGGAGACAAAGAGGCAATCTTCCGGGCATTTTGATACGATAGAGTTGATCCAAGCAAAATGCACCTCGGTTCTCAATGTTATTCCAGATAATGCCTTAAGTGACGCCTTCAATGCTTCGAAATCACACTGGCAGCACTGCATCGACACAAAAGGAGTCTGTTTTGAAAGTTTTTAAAGAATTGTAGCGATTGGTTCATTAAATTTTTAAATCGACTCAGGTCTATTACTTTCCAGACAAACCAGGTTAAAGTACCAGAATTGTTCAAAGCTTAAGAATTCTGCATATTATTCTTACTTTCTGGTTCTTGACCACTTTGATTGAATGATTTTTTTTTTTATTTCAAATAAGTAAAATTTTAACTGCATGTCCTTAGAAAATCAATTGTATAGCAGCTCTACATTATATTTATCCGATCTTGTTAGTTAGTCTAATTAGATCGTCCATTCAAAAATGTACCATTTTATAAAAACTTAATATATATATAAATACCAGGTATAATACAATAAGCAAAAATTTAGGTGAGGTCTATAACTACAAGTAAAAAAATTGGGGATATTTTAAACAAGTAAGGAAAGACTAAGTTCGGGCGTAACCGAACATTTCATTCTTTTACAACTTGCAAAGATTAAAGCCAGGAAAATGCCTTCACTCTACATAAGGCTTGTAAGTTATATGGGGCCTAGAGCAAGTTTTTCGATTTTAATAATTCAACGCAAAATTATGTACCCTTCTTAGAAAAACACTCTGTCTCCATTTTATTAAGCTAACTCACATATTATACATATAAATTCGAAAAACCATGCATTATACATTTGGGCTAAGGGAAGTATTGATCCGATTCAACCCATTTTTAACAAACAGACATACTGAAAAGGATTCTCTCCAAATTGTAGTACCTAGGGTCTTCAACAAATTTGGTTCTATTTGGGTAATTTTTAGTCAAAAAGTATTCGCGCAAAGTTTCATCGCGATATATTGATTCTTAATTTGTATACTGGAAAGTGAAGGAATAAAATGGAATTTAAAAGTAGGCGTGGATTAAGCCCCATTTCGCTCAATTCCACATTATAACATACGTAGGTTACCTTCTTCCAATATTTCGGAATTAGAGAACATACACAAATTTTAATAATTGAAAATCGCTAAATTGTTTTTCAAAATATTCTGAATTAAGATCTATTCACTTTCGAATGCATTTGAACCAATTGTCGAAGCACTTTTTCCACTTCGATTGAAATACCAAAACTTTTTACTTTGGGCTCATAAATTTACCTCTCACGTTGTCGTATTCTTTTAACACCAGTATTTTTTGAGCGATTTACAAATTGTGTGAGACCCAACAAGTTAAAAGCAATATTGAATATATACTAGTCCCATTATTGCCTAAAGTTGTTTCAATCTCACGATAGGTCACGCGACGATCTTGCAATATCTCTTTGCGCATTGCATTAATAGTTTCAGGAACAACAACTGATTTTGAACAATCTTCAAGAAATTCGTGCAATTGCATTCACTATGTCATTGTCAAAAATTTAATTAAGTTCGGTAAGTTGTAAAAAATAATAACAACAAGTAAGGAACGGCTAAGTTCGGGTGTCACCGAACATTTTATACTCTCGCATGATAAAGTGATAATCGAGATTTCAGTTGTGAACCGATTTCACCCATATTTGGTACATGTCATTAGGGTGTTCAGAAAATATTATATACCGAATTTCATTGAAATCGGTCGAGTAGTTCCTGAGATATGGCTTTTTTAAAAAAGCCTGCGTGCAGCTTCCTTTTGACATTTCTCCCGTAAAATTTAGTGTTTCTGACGTTTTTGTTAGTCGGTTAAGGCACTTTTAGTGATTTTCAACATAACCTTTGTATGGGAGGTGAGCATGGTTATTATCCGATTTCTTCCATTTTTGAACTGTATATGGAAATGCCTAAAAGAAACGACTCTATACAGTTTGGTTGACATAGCTATAGTAGTTTTTGAGATATGTACAAAAAAATTAGTAGGGGGCGGGGCCACGGCCACTTTTCCAAAAAAATTACGTGGCAGTGGGCCGATTTTGCCCATCTTCGAACTTAACCTTCTTATGGAACCAAGAAATACGTGTACCAAGTTTCATCATGATATCTCAATTTTTACTCAAGTTACAGCTTGCACGGACGGACAGACAGACATCCGGATTTCAACTCTAATCGTCWCCCTGATCACTTTGGTATATATAACCCTATATCTGACTCTTTTAGTTTTAGGACTTACAAACAACCGTTATGTGAACAAAACTATAATACTCTCTTTAGCAACTTTGTTGCGAGAGTATAATAACAGAATTCACAAATTATAATAACACATATACCGTAGATTGGTCAGTTGAGTCTTACTTATTTCTACAATTATTTAAATTTGGACCCCGGGCCTAATATTTTTAATGCTCATGTCTGATAAACCATTATAGCTATTTGAACTAAATTTGCTCAGGGTAAATATTTGTGGCACCTCTTTTGAGTGTTAGAATGTGTGAAATTGGACTATAACCACGTATCACTATAAAACTACCAAATCGATCCTTCGTCACCTGGTCTTTCCAATGAAGTGGAGGTCTTCCTCTTATTATGCTTCCCCGGACGACATGCCCCAGCCAACGTATCCGCTGTCTTGTATTTCGCCCAACTAAGTCAATATTGTCGTATATCTACAGCTCGAATTATTTTCACCAAGAGTAGATTGAAGAAGTAGCACGAAAGGGAGTCAATTTGTCTGAAACCTCGTTTGGTATCGAACGGCTCGAAAAGGCCCTTCCCGATCATTACGGAGGTCTTGTTGTTTTTCAATGTCAGTTTACATAACCGTATTAGTTTTGCGGGGATACCCAATTCAGACATCGCGGCATTTTCGTGCTGTCGAAAGCAGCTTTGAAATCGACGAATAGGCGGCGTGTGTCAATCCTCTTTTCACGGGTCTTTTTCAAGATTTGGCACATGGTGAATATCTCGTTCTTTGCTGATTTTCCAGTCCTAAAGCCACACTAATAAGGTCCAATCATTTTATAGACGTTGGGCTTTAATCTTTCATACAATACGCTTGATAAACTTTTATATGCGATGTTGAACGGTCTTATCCGGCAGTAATTAGTAACTTACGTAACAAATGTACGTACGTCTGTATCAGAAAGTACTTCACCAATTACAAAAATATATTGATAGCCATATTCTACAACGTGAAAATGGGTGAACAAAATGCATCTATTTCGTTAATTTCACAGTATAAAAAATCAAGCATCAATGAAGTTATCGGAATAAAAGTTTTTGAGTGCCCTTAAGACATAACATACACGTCCCATCAAGACCCCAGATGACTAATATGTGGACTCAGCAAACGAAAAATAATTGGCAATCTCTAAGATAAGCAATAAAAGTTAGAGAACGTATTTTTCTGCTAACATAGTGTGTAAAATTGGGTCACTGGTGGGTCACTGGTCCCATAACTCCAATATACTTTTCATCGGGATTTTCAAAGATCTGGTTGACTTTTTACTTCATACATCGGTAATGTGTTAGATGTTATAAAGAATTTCTTACTAATAAAATGTATCCTTGTACCTAAAATGGATCAAATCGGACGAGTACTCCCCCTAGACACCATACATATACTAATAAACGGACTAAACTTTATACCATTTGGATTGGTTAATTTGTTAATATCTTTTTGATCCAATGATATGTCGGAATGTCAAACTTGAATAAAATCGGGTGGGAACTAACCATATCACCAAATTACAATTTTTACTATTTTGAAAAAATTCGAACAGTCAAAAAAGTTTGTACAAAAATTATTTTTTTCACTTTTCAGGCAAACGCCATTTCATAAAAAAAAAATTCAAACTGGTTGATTCTAGACTAATATTTTTATTTTTTGTTTTCAGATTGCTAGGAGGATTCAAATCACGCACTTCATCAGCTGCTAATTTTTGAAATTTTCTTTTAGTTTTTTTAATTTTATGATTATTTCCTGTATTCTTGTAATTTTAATAAAAACCTAATAAAAAATAGATAGTAAGATATGAATTGACTTTTTTACGACACTTCAAAAATTTCCTGAAATTTCTGTCTCTACTAGACTACAGGTAGAATACCCCCTTAAAACATGTTTGCGAATATGCCTGAATTTTGTCAAAAGTTAAGGGGCCAGTAGGATTTTTTGACATTTTTTTTCATATAAATTTTTATTCTACAATAGAACTTTTTTCACATATCATGAGGTATATCGTGGAGTACATAAACAAATTTTTTCGGAATTTTTTGATGACTTCTGTCGGAGAAATGGCTGAGTGAATGAGACGTGTTTTTTCACTGGCGGACACGATTTCCCATGTTTGTATCATTTGAAACGCAAAAACCCAATTTATTCTTCAAAAGTAAGTGAGTAAGAAGTTATCGTCCCTACTAGAATCATCAAAAAATGTTGTTAAATAAAATAGTAATTAACGTTATACTTTTCCTCATGGTTTTTTACATAAATATTGTCATAGAATTGTCAATAAATTATAAAAATATAGGGACGATAGCCAGGCGTTTTGTGAACATTAAAAAAAAAACATTAAGCAAATCAGTTGAATAGTTCGACAGGAATCATGTCCGCCAGTTTAAAAAAGTGTGTTATGAGAAAAATGCATTTTAAGCGCCAGGGGTGCACGTTCCGAACATCGAGCAGAATTGTTACTATTGGGTCTTTTTCGAAACCTTCCAATGGTAAAGTGGGTTTCTACATTAATTCTAAAAAATTTGAAAAAAGATTACCCTACTGATCGCTTAATGCAATCATTCTAGACCCTCCTATATACCATCTATACGTCATATAGATATAGAGCTGCATATGAATAAAATCGATCTAGAACCTGATCTAAACCTAATATCCCTAATATACATCCCATATTTGTTAGTTGAGCTTATCACATTTGTACATCTTATTTGAGTTATTTACATTTTTATATGAACATTTTAGCGAATTAATATAGTACTTTATGAGCAATAAAATAAGTTAATAAATTATTGATTGATTTCCTCGAATAATGTATATTGAATTCTTACGCAACATTTCTTAATACAAAGTTTTGCGACACCTGAAGGTATTTGCCTGAGTTTGATCAATAATCTCCTTCATTATTGGTATAATTTCAACTTCAAGTCTAATACAAATATTATAATAATTTCATTTGAAATGGAGATTTCCTCCGCTTTATGATTTAAACAAATACATATGTATATAAATAATTAATAATAGGTACCTTAATTTGTTTAATAAAAATCACATGCGCTTTAAAAGTTAATGATTGTATTGTGTGAACGCTTTAAAATACCTTTCGTCATAAATAAAAACCAATTTAAATGAGTCAAGCATTTAAGAATAAAACATTCGCTAATTGTTTTTGGACGTGAAGAGACTATATATATAACGCCAACGGTTGGAAAAATTCTGAAATATATAATATAAAAGTATGTGAATATGTAAAGAAATTTCCAAACTTGAAAAAGTACAAAGCATAAGTGAACAAAGATAGCGCGATCAACACAGGTAATTACACCAACAAATGAAGAACTGGGAAACATCAAAAACTGCAACAAATATTTCTACAATAATAAAAACACTAAGATACACACCTTGCAAGCAAACGGGTTTAGTTAGCAATTATTAACAAAAACTATAAAAATAAAATAAAATAAACAGTTTTGTTTAAATAAAGGTTTTCGTTTATTTTTTTCAACTCAATTACATTTGTTAGAGATACCTGGCTGCGTGCAGGCATTTCTATGTTCACGTCGTAATAAATAGTAATAATAGTAAAATAGTACATAATAGATAATAGATAAATCTTAATAATTTCGCTTAAATAAAAAATATAAAATCATAAATATTTCAAATATACATATATACATATATATGTATGCAAAACGTAAACAATTTGGTTTAGTAAAAACAGTTTGTGTTAGTAAAAAACAGTTTTTGTTTATTTTAGTTTTAAATTTATATTTAATGCATGCTTTTAGCATTTTGTTGTGTCTCGTGAATATACTTAACCTACAAATCAAGTTGTACACTGCATGCGCAGTACAGACATTAAAGCTACGTTTCTGAAAGCCGTTCATTAGTGTAAATAACACTACTCAACAAATCTGAAGGAAACATTTGCAACTGATGTGCTGAGATGTCTGTGGGGTGTTTTAGGCGTGCTGATTACGAATATGAGTTCAAATATTTTCCAACACGTATAGCTATTGAGTCAATTAGGTAAATGATGGTGGTTTGATCCCTACACCACTTGACAACAACACAAGAAATTCTACGCGTTAGGAAGTTTTTACTATCTCTTTCGATTTTATCAACCCAAAACAGCAAGAAACGGCCTTTACCACCACAGTCGCAGAATGACAGTAAACTAGTGTATTTACAATTCAACAACAATATACGTAGAAATAAAACTTTGTGATATTGTTGGCGATTGCATAAATTAAAATACACACAAACTAAGCTTCTAATTTATATATATACATATGTATATACTGAGCTGATCCTCATCACTATGAATTTCGCCACAAAAAAAAATCCCGCAAACCGATAAATGTATACTCATAGCTCTGTCACTTGTTTGGAAAATAATTTTTATTTGTCTTGCCTGTTGAGAATGCCTATCAATAACTGCATTTAAATACTCAATCAGTCGGTAACACATTAAACACGAGTATGATGCATTCGCGGCCAAAAGTCCCAAAGTAGAAAGCTAATCGATTGTATCTTATTTATTACATTTTTTAATAATATAAATATTGGAATGTAAACCTAATATAAATTCTTTTTTTTTTTATCAAAACTAGCCACATACAGATCAAAAGTTAACGACAATACATAGATATATAAAAGAAACATACACAAACAGAAAAATGCATCTATTATTATCGAACAATCAACATTAATTTGTTTAACTAAGTGAGCAAGGAAGGTTCAAAAATAACTTGTTGAATTGACTTATAATTTCGAATTTTTACCAAAATTAAATCGTTTATAAATATATATATCTATGTATATCTGTAAGCGCAACAAAATATAATTTAAGTTTTGTTATGTAAACGGTAATTGCGAGCTACCGAGTACTTTATATACATTTTAGGTTTTAAAAGCTTAGGTATATTAGCAATAATATGTTTGACTTTAGAAGTACATATGTAGAGTTACAAATAAATTTATATAATAACAATTCTAAAAGTTGTTTAAAATTCGTCCCTACAATATTGAAATAATTTCGTTTAGTGCGGGAGCAGGTTGCTTTGGGTTTAATTTTTTGCAGATGAGGAACCTCGGGATATTTCAACAAAACAAAATGATTGGGGGGATGGTAGGGGCACACATATTTGGACGCCCCATATCACACAATCACTCATTACGCAGCAAGTGCATCCAATTCATTTGTTTTCTTTTTCGGATGTTTTACCTGGTTAGACCAATCGCCAGTGGGCACGGTGGCACGATAAAATTTCGAGCTCGTCTTGTTGAAAATGGGCAGGAGCTCGTTAGCCTCGTCTGATAGTGCCTGTAATATGAAAAAGTAAATTGAGTGGAATTATTCAGTTAACATTTTCCGCCATCCATTATACAATAATTGAATTTGGAAATGTAATTCAATATTAAAATAAAATAAATAGCCAGTTTAGATAAAGCTCAAAACAACGCTCTACTTTCTTGACACAAAAAACCCAAAAACACAACAAAAAAACAAGACAAAACGTTAACTTCGGCTGCACCGAAGCTAATATACCCTTCACAGGAGCATTTCTTTTAGTAACTATGTGGTCGGTTTGTATGGAAGCTATACGCTATAGTAATCCGATCTGAACAATTTTTTCGGAGATTACATTGTTACCTTGAAAAATAATCTATACCAAATTTCGTGAATATATCTTGTCAAATGTGAAAGTTTTCTATACAAGAACTTGATTCCGATCGTTCAGTTTATATGGCAGCTATATGTTATAGTGGTCCGACATCGGCAGTTCCGACAAATGAGCAGCTTCTTGAAGAGAAAACTCAACTTTATAGGGTCTCCGACGCTTCCTTCTAAGTATTACAAACTTCGTGACAAACTTAATATACCCTGTTCAGGGTATAAAAACTGTAATATCTTCTCAAATAAAAAAAATTTTCAACAAGATGATTCTGATCATTCTGACTGGCTCAACGCTCTATATTTATACATATATATTCCGTTTTAAATTATACAAATATCATGACAAACTGAATATACCCTCTACACGGTAAAATTATTTGTGTGACCAGTTAATATCTTATCGAGTTGGCTTTAATACAGGTAAGTATGTGGATACTTCATAAATCATAAAACTCTTCCTTATTCTAGCGCTATTTCATTATAAGGGATAGGATATTTATAACAGTTGTTTGTTCGTTTAACCACACACGAAGTATGACAAACAAATTTTAAGATTTTTTTGTGGTATGCCATAACTTTATATTGGGTTAGCTGATCGACTACAGTGCGATACCTCTTAAATTTGTATATTCCCAAGGTTCTTTGCACCACATACATAAAAATTGTAATACTCGTACCTTCATATAAATAATCGCATCGGTGCCATATCCTTCGCATGACAACAACACAATATCACCATGGAAATATCGTGCATATAAGCGCGAAATGGGCAGGCCATAGCCATATCCTGCTAATGGCACTGTATGTAGGTCGGATTTTGATGGCTGTGGCGCAGTGCTGTACATGTATTTGAACAACTGATCGGTTTGTGAACGTGGAATGCCGCCACCTTGGTCTGAGATCTGCAAAAGCATATAAAAAAGCATGAATATTTCATAAATTGAACAAAACCTTGTTTTTATACCTTCACACATATATCCTCTTTGCCCTCCGCTATGAGCACCTTAATGGGTGGCAGCTTTTCACATTTATCTTGATCGTTATTTTCCACAACAGCACGCATGGAATTCTTAAACAGCTCGAAAAGCATGTGGTATAAATGCGAGGGCACATAAACAGTGCGTATGGGATTATTTGCTTTGTCGTGTGGATTATGCTCAGTGATTTCCAGTTCCGGACTGATCAGATAGTATTGATCGCAGAGAAAGCGTGCGTTTTCATAAGCATCTCTTACCACCGATGAGATCTGACAGGCCGGATCCAAGCAGCCAATATGACGACCCTGCTCGTTGGGGAACTGGCCAAATAGTATAGCTGTGAGCAGAAAAAACAATTTATTTAATTTTTATTATTTTTTTAAATTTATTTATTTAAATAAATTTCCAAAAAAAAGACAGGAAAAAGCGTGAACTTCGACTGCACCGAAGTATTATACAAAGGTTCCAAACAAGAACTACATTTTGATCTTACAGTTTGTAAGACAGCGATCTGAACAATTTCTTTGGAGTTTATATTGTTGCCTTGGTAAATAATCTATGCCAAATTGGCATTCTTAGGAAGAAAAGGACGTGTGCAAAATTTCAGATTGACATCCCAATAACTGAGGGACTATTTGGCGTATATTCAGTCGGACAATGTAGCTGTTGCTGTGGCGGTAGAAAACATTCCTGAGGTAATTTGGAGGAATGCGAATCCAGGTCCGTTCCGGTTAGATAGATATCATACTTAAATTAACAAAAATGCAAAAACAAAAAAAAATAATAATAATCAAGAAGACAAGAATCGGCTCAGTTTGATTTCCTTCTGGATATTTTAAACTTCGTAGCGAACTTAAAATACCTTGTTCAGGGTATACAATTATAAAAAATTATAAGGTTTTACTCACTGTGCTGATTGATTAGCATTCGTATGCTAATGCGTGACATGTATAAACGATCAAGAAAGTATTGTATCGACGATTCCATGCCGCAATCAACGGGGCCGCCCTGATGCTCCTTCATTTCGATGACGCCTTGAGCCATTGTTTGCACCACATCACTGTGCCTATTGCGTATGTGCACCAAAGTGTTGCAAAACCTGATATGGAAGCGATAATGGAACTAATTAAAACCATATCTCAACTTTATTGTAGGCCGAAGTAAATGAGTATTTACACAACATGTCTACATATGTATGTAGATACAATACAATAAATATTATAAGTGGTGAATGCGCTCATAGATGCGTGCGACAGCCAAGTGCAAACAGTAAAATTTAGGTGTCTATGAAGGATTTATTATGCCGGGCATAATTAACTTAGCATTGCGTAATTTATTGTAAGCATTGCGTATTGTATAATATGTTAGTCATAAAACATGCGAAAATGCTAACCCGATGCAGCAGATTGCGCCTTCAAGTCAAGTCAAACATAAAGTGATCACACACACCCACATACCATGTATGTATAAATCAGTGTGCTACTCTTAACCTGCGTTAATTAAGCAAGATGGAAAGCTGCGATCGGAGCAGTGATTCTTATTGCAGTACTTACTTCTCCAAGTTACTATGCGTCGGTTCTGCCTTTTCAAACTCCAGCACCTCCTCGAAGCTTTGCACGTACCATGAGCTCACCTGGCTCACTGATTGGGTGTTAAGCAAATGATCCGGCAGCAACGCGATCTCCTTCATGATATTCGCCAGACGCACGGGCAGCTCTTTACGCAGGAATATATAGGATTTCTTCTCGCATGCATTTTGACCTGTACGAAGGAGAATAAGTAGAGAAGAATTTAAACTAGAAGTGTTGTTTTCACTTAATTAAAGACTTTCTGGGTTAAAAAGTAAAACAAATAAATCTATTAAAAAAGAAAATTTATAGAAGCAACATATCAAATGAGATAATAAAAAATTATTAGTTATTGCTCTTCTCATGAACTTTTCAAACATGTAAGGTATCTAAGGAAGCATGGTAATGAGTTCTAAAATTATCCAAAATTCGGGGCAGCAGCTGTATTTTATGGCAAGTATCTCAAATCGAACAACCAAAAAGGTATAAAATCCAATCTCTTAGTTTTATGTGTCGGTTTTGAAGTACCACTTTCAACGCTAGAAAATTGGCTATTTACTCCCCGCGTCAAGTATTTAATGGTTTCTATTTGTTTTCTAATTTTGAGACTTCATCTTAATTTGTACAATAAATGAAATGCTTCACAGCTTTTGCATTTATACACTTAACACAAATTATACTATACACATTACAGTAAATCCGCATTAGAAAACATTACGGCGGCGAAGAACTGATCATGAGCATGCATCAGCTTCTTTGTAGAATATGATCGGACGAAGTACATACGACGATTAGAATTTAAGTGCGCTCTGCCCAACCCACAAAAAGGCAGAGGGAACAAACAGTGTGGCTTTCGAGCTGAAAAATCTACAATCGACCAGATTTTCCCCATTCAAATATCGGAAAAGACCCGTGCGAAGAGGATCGACACACACATCTTCTTCATCGATTTCAAAGCTGCTTTTTTTCAGTAATACCAAAAGCTGCGACAGGATCTGGAATGACTTCTCCGAGCTGTTCGATACCAAACGAGATTTCAGGCAAGGCGACATCTTCAATACGATGACACATTACAATGGACAAAAATCTTACTCACATTTCAGGAAAATACAAAGGCATGATCGTTCAATTTTAATGACAGCTGTACACCCTGTCCCGAAAGTATCGGGAATTCTTCATTTGAATCTCCTGCTTATATGGAAGACAAGTAAATTTTTTGTTCCTAGGTTGGTAAAATTGTCCTTAACTACGGTGCCAAAAATTAGCGTGATCTGTCAACTAGTGTGTATACAGCAGCTATTTATGTCAGGTCGACTGACATATAAGCGGGAGATGAGAGGGGGAAATGAAGAATTCCCGATACCTTCCGGACAGGGTGTATGCTTTAGTGTTCCCATATCAACGGTTTCTCCAGATAAGCAGCTATTTGAGGAGTAAAGGACGTGCGCAAAATGTCGGACCGAGATCTCTAATACTGAGGATCTAGACGGACAGAAAGACGGACATGACTAAATCGACTCAGCTCGTCGTGTTGATCATTTATGCATCAGCAGAATGAATTATGGCGGTATAATAAAAATAATTGTTTGTTGTGTTCTGGGAATAAAACTATTTTATATTTCCCAGAAAATCGGAAACATTTCAGAAGTAAAACATGTGACTTAACGAACTTTCTTTTTCATATGAGTTAGGTATGCACAAATGTACGAATTATGTGTTGATATTTATGAGTGTTTTTATAACTCGATTTATTTGCATTTCTTCAAGTTTATAAAGTCAATAACCGGTGGAGGCAAACACAAACTTGCAAAGTTCAGCAAAATAAAATGTAAACAAGATTTCAAGCACATGAGTAATGAGCAAAGTTAAAAATTAAAACAATGCCTATAAATACATATACAGTGATGGACAGAGAAATAGCACACTTTCAGCATGTAATAAAACAACGTTTGTTAATAGTATTACCAGAAAACAGTTTCTTTTTCATTAGCATTTTTTTGTTCTTTAAAAACATAAATATTGAGTTTCAATTGAATCTTTACAATCGGCACCCTACCATCGCTCCTAACATTTCAATGGAGTTTGAATTGTGGCTTTACGCTGGCCAGCTTAGGACGTCAATACTTTCTGCAGTGACCAATTCATCAGACTTTTAGCTGCGTACTTTGGATCATAGTCATAGAAATCCAATTCACATTCATCGATTCGAATGCGAATGGTTCCATAGTATTTTTGAGAATGTTGAGATGTGGAAATCGGTCCAATCTACCATCTATCCTCAACAATGGTCCAACGCCGCAACAGGAAGGCACGCTCCAAACCATCACGCTACTACCGCCTTACTTAACGGTTTTTGTGTTGTATATCGAGTTATGTATATGCCTAACATCTGAAGCAATATAGGCTAAACCCATGTCATTAATAAACTAAATTCATAATCTTTCGGGAAGATTTCAAAGGATGATGGATTGATGGCTCTATCAGCACGTTTTGTTGTTTTACCTGCAGGAGTTTAAAGGATTTTTTCTTTTTTCAACAAATCAGGTTCTCTTTTAACAAAATTTATTGCGTTATATACCATTTTTGGAGCGCATACCTTCACGCATCCCACCCAACTGGCGGAAGTGGAAACTAAACGCCTGTGCAAATTTGTATTGGCTACTAACCGTTTTTCTAATTTATAAGTTCGAACACAGAATCATCTTTTCTATGTCCACGTGCGATCTCTCTGGATCAGCTATTTAACCTAAACTAACCTAACCCATACACAATTTTTCTCGAATAATTCATAGTTTTGGCAATCTGAATATAATTTTTCCCTTTTTTGTAAAGATCAAAAACCATTCTCCTATTTTCCAGAGTACAATGCAAATTTCCACCGATTTTTTTAAATGTTTTCATTTTATTTAACAGCTACAGTTTAAATAATGCTCTTTTTTCAACGTTTGCTAATTAAAAATGAATTTTTGCACAAATAACGCAATGATTCCTAATTCCTTGTCCAAACAAATTTCATTAGGTTGCGATTGTAAGGAGTAACAACAAAAAAGTAAGCATGATAAAAGCAACATCTGACCGTTATAAGTCGTGGAAGTCTAGACATACATACATACATACGTATGTATACAAACGTAGAAAATTTTCCGATATTTGATAAAACTAAAAACAAATTGAAATAATTTATGTTTCTCTGACCATGCTATTTCTCTGACCACGACTGTATGTATATACATATGTAAATAAAAGCAAAAACAGTGTGTTTGCCGGTAGCTTTTGCAAGCTGCGATACAATAGTCAAATTGCCGATATGTGGCAATTTAACCGAGCAAAGACATTTATTTAGCAATAAAATTTAACTAGGCACAATATGCCATATGCATACATACATACATACATATGTACATTCATATACTTATATGCTGGCGATTAAATATTGTAGTGGTTTGTTTATTTATGATAGTGAGTTATACGGTTGCTTCAAAGCACTTCAAATAAAGTAAGTCAAGTGGACGAGTGGGCTGCTGCCATCAGGGTGTTTGGTAGGCCCACATGGAAACTGACGATTGCCTCGGAAACAGACGATTATTGCGAATTGTAGGCAACTTTTATAGCCGACTTTTACTGTTAGCGCTTACAATCTACAATTTCAATTAAGTTCGATATATGTGCATACATATGTATGTATTTTTTTTTATTTTTATACATATATGTATGTATGTATGTGAAGAAAGGTAATGAAATCATTCGCACAGTGGGCCACAAGCTTAGTTCGAATCATTAAGAAACCGACCACTTTGAGCGAGAAAGATCGTATGCGCGAACGAGTCGATTATTCCAGAGAGCAAATGTACACGGGCGAGCCACACGAATACTTTTGCGACCGAGTTTGATCGAGTTTGCTTTCGGCGATTACACGTATGTATGTATGCATGTGTTTATGCTCTCGACAGCGATAAAGCGAATTGACGTAGTCATCTTGACGGCGACGACGACGTCGACTGATTATGACTTTTTGGAGGCCAAGTCGGTCAAAAACGAAATCATAAAAACAGAAAGAATAAAATATAGTATAAAATAGGCGAATAAAAACAATAACAAGTATGATCTCACCGTCAATGAAGAAAAACAAAAAACAAGAAAGGCAAAAAAAACCTAGGGAAGTCGGGCGCGTGTATGCATTTTGCCTAGATAAAACAACAATTGATGGACTTTGCTTATTTACTATATAATTGCCCACATGAGTATTCTAGAAATGTTTTTCTGTTATTTTTAACAAAACAACAATGTGCCGGTGAACAAGCCCCCGCCAACTATGCCATTAGCAAACGTGGAAGTCTACGTGCCCCGTGCGAAATTAAACATACATACAGACGCATTTTAATTATCAATGTTAATTATCTATAAATCTGCACTATAAATTCTTGGTAGGCAAACTCTATTGTTAAGTCCCGAAAACAGTTTACTTATAATATGGATGGGTACACTTACTTATATAAAGCATTTCTAACCTGTCTGAACCTGGGACTATAGAAGTTTACCCTTTACTCTAGTTAGATTCACAAAGTTAACTGAGGAAGTTATATAATTTGCTATTATCTCCCAATAAAGTGAATTTCGAAAAATTAAAAGTTATTTAGTATAGGCGAGTCATTGTAAATACATACATACATATGTATGTCTGTTTATGGAAATTAAAAACTAGGCGTGATCAATATTTGCATTATTCATTTCGAAAATAACTGAGTGCTTCCTTTACTTATTTACATTCCGACTTATTGCTCCGTGAGCCGCTTTTGATGAAGGTGTGTACATGTTTTTTATTCCAAGGTGCTAATGGCAAAAATAAGAACCTTATTACATACTATACATACATGCATACTTTTTACGAATGCATATACTACATACATATGTACATAAGTGTGTAGCAAATAAAGCGATAATAAACCTTTTTCATGTTAAGTGCATGTTATGTAAAACGAAAATTTAAATTATTTAGCGTTACTAAACCAGAAACTATCATAGGTACGGTAAGCATTAATACACGCGGAACGGCTAACCTACATACGTCCTTTCTCAAAGCATCACCAAATTATTTTTATACCCTGAACAGAGTATATTAAGTTTGTCACGAAGTTTGCAACACACAGAAGGAAGGGTCGGAGACCCTATAAAGTATATACATAAAAGATCAGT